TTTCGACATCATATGTTGATGTTGTGTCGTCAGCCTCCAGTGACAGTATAGTGGTGTCCTCATCGTCAGCATTCGAGGTAGTTACTGTGGTGTGTTCAGTCTCCAGTGCGGTGGAGCAGATGTCACTTGGGTTTTCACTCGACTTGTCTGTTGTCGACTCGTCCGACTTTGTTTCGTAGAGGGACTGTGTTTCGTAGTAAAAAATACGGTTTCTGCTATTCAGAAACTTGCAGGTTTCGCCTGTCATTGGAACACCCTTTTTCCAATTTTTTCCCTGTGCCATTTTTCAAAATAAACTTGGTCAAAACAAAATAAATGAACAGTAATATATAGTAGAGAAAAGCGATGCGATGAACTATCAGCAACGAGTGAGTGTATCCGGTCATTTGACCGGACGCGTACACGCGATGTTTATTTGCGGGATTAAGCTAATTACAAATGTTATTGTTTTGGCTCAGAGGGGCTTAGCCGAAGTCCACATTCCCGGGGTTTCCGTTAATTGTAAATTATTTTTTATTTTTTTAAAAAGCCGTTTTTTCTTGAAATAAAAACGTGATTTAATAGAAAAACAAGGTCGTATGGCTGCCTATAGGTATAAGTCACCATTTAATAAAAGAAAAAAAAAATGAAGAAAAAATCACCACGAAAGTCTACTACATCCTTAATGCGACTTGGTGTGTCTCGGCTCGGTGGTCTTATTCGTTTGAAAGAATCCTGTCTTCGATATGTCGAAAGCAAGAGCAACGTTAACAGTTCTTCAACTTCTATTTATATTGGTACTAGTTCTTCACGGGTCAGTGCTCCCGCTGGTGAAAATAGAATTCGGCATGAACGCGAATTTCTTTTTAATCCGCGACGATGGGTCCTACTAATTACTGCCCGAGACTGCCCGAGACTGCTCGGAGCGAAATGGGACTGCCCGAGGCGAAGATACCCACGTATACACTGTTATAAAGGTATATTAAAATAGCAAGGACCGTGAATGTCACTAACAAAAATAATAGTAGACAAGAGAACTGGTGATGGTTGTGAACCATCACTGCCTCAGCACAAAGCCTGTTGTGTAATACTGTAAAATGACTAATTTTCACTGGGTTTAAATTTCACTGATTTACCATTTCAGGCATATTCAGTGGGTTTTAAATTCACGATTTTATCATTTAGATAATGTGTTCTATGCTAAATTTTACATATTCACTGTGTTTTAATTTAGCGCATTTTTCCAGTCAGCGAAATAAGCTAAATTAAAACCCAGTGAATAATTACCCCCTTTACAGTACAAGGGAATGTAAAGGGAAGTGCATTGTAGTGTTACCTCTGAGTAATATATCTGAATTAACTTTCACTGTGAAGGACAATATGGGAGTTGACTTAAATGAATGGTAGAAGCAGGGCTGGTCGAATTTTGCGAAATAGTAGTTAGTTAGAATTACCAGGCACGCAATGGACACATTGTGAGATATCGAAATATGAATGATAAACAG